TGACGGTTGCCGCGGTAACCCCGCGTCCTCGTCGTCGCCGCAGGGGATCGCCGCATCTCGTGTCAGGACCTGGGTAACGGTGAATGCGAAGGATGGCTGCACAGAAGGCGACCGGTTGTGTCGCTGCTGCAGCCCAGCAAGTGGATGAAGCGATGGTGCGTGCTGAAAGATAGCAACATGTTCTGCTACAAGTGCAAAGATGTGAGTGTGTGTGTGTGTCTGTGCGTGCGTGCGTGTGGGTATCACCACTCGTCTCTCTATCGCTGTCTGTCTCTCTCCATATTAGCTTTTTCTCTCTGTCTCTCTCTCTCTCTGCATATCTTTCTCTGTCTATCTCTCTCTCTGTCTCTTTGTTCCTAACTTTGTCTCTGTATCTGTCTCTGTTCCTTACCCTTTCTCTCGAGCTCTCCCCCTCTCTCTCCCCCTCTCTCTTATTCTTTCTCTCGCTCTCTCTTCCGCCTCTCTAACTCCCCCCCTCTCTTCTTATTCTTTCTCCTCCGCATCTGTCCACGGTCACCCACTTCTATCCTGCTCCCTGTCTACTATCTAGACTCGCGTCACATCTTTCTTTATCGTCGTCTACTCTCGCCCGGCGTGCGGGAATCTCTCGTGCGTTCTGCTCTGCTACTCTCGGCACTCTTCATCTCGAGCCCATCTCTCTCCTATATATATATATATATACTAATATATATATTATATATATATATATTTCTTTGATATATCCCATCTCCCTCTCTAATCTCTCTTACTTTTCCACCTCATCTCCTCCCACATCATCGGCTGTCGCCCGCGAGCCGCCTCTCTCACTCACCAGGAAAATAGAAGGTGTAAGAAACACATGATTCTCTCTTGGAGTTTTTCAGCCTGTGATAACCAGTCGGAGTCCAAACGAATGTATAAGATATCTAATAAATTATCTAGCAACATTTCAACAAAGACTGTTCCATGATGGCAGTTGATTAGTTGTCATCTGTTATAGTAGCACATTAAATAAGTTCATTCGGTTGGCAGACTAATATAAATAACACGGTTAATTTTTACTTAACCGTGAAAGTTTTGAATCGTACCGCTGACATTTCGCCTCCTGCCAGGAAGCTTTCTCAAAGCAAACTGTGAATTTGATTTTGAGAAAGCCTCCTGGCAGAAGGCGAAATGTCAGCGGTACGATTCAAAACTTTCACGGTTGAGTAAAAATTAACCCTGTTATTTATGTTAGCGTTCGTCAACTCTGTGCGGATGTGTGTAGTAAGTGCAACGAGTATAGAGGGCGTGACACACTGCCCTCTTGTTTTTAGGACATCGCGGCGGATTCCGTCATCTTCCTTCCGGGGTTCAACGTGTCGCCAGCTCCCGAGATCAAGACCAAGAAGTCGTAAGTACTCCGTCGCCCCAGACGCAACACCGGCGCCCCCTCCTGGCAAAATTTATTTCAGGGGAATCGGACGCAGATGACAGAAGTCGTATGGAAACATTATTGCGTTTGTGTGCGCATCGCCACTCCACAATTACAAGTATTCGCATGGAATGTGACCTAATCTAATGTGGCCTAATGTGGCCTAATCTAATGTGGCCTAATGTGGTCTAATCTAATGTGGCCTAATGTGGTCTAATCTAATGTGGCCTAATGTGGTCTAATCTGGCCTGATGTGACTTGTGTGCATGAGTGAAACTATCATGTAGTACTGACACGATGTGGTGTTAACACGAGGCAGGCACCCTCTCCTGACTCTGACTGAGAATTTATCTCAGGGGAATGAAACGCCAGGAGCAGCAATTGCATGGAACCGGTAATGTGTTTGTGAGCGTATCGCCACTCGACAATTGCAAATATTTGCGTTGAATGTGACCGCATCTGACCCCTACCTGGTCTGACGTGACCTGACATGACCAAATCTAGCCCTGCCTTGATGTCTTGCCTGATCCAACATCCAACATCAGTTATTGTGACCATATTTGACCGTGACGTGTGTCAATTTCTTCCTCACTCATAGTTTCTTTTTTATTACATTCCTGTCTCTGCGTTTTTCAGTGCTTTTAAGATTCACCACAAGGGTGCAGCATTCTACTTTGCCTCTGATCGACAATCCGACTTGAGCAAGTAAGTAAAAACCTTTGTATGTCGTCGAAAATGTGTCATTAAAAACCCTCTTTATTTTCCACTGATTAAAAAATCGATTGCTTTTATTACCAA